CGCACTGGGGCTGGACACGCTCCACTGCCGCCTGCATGAATCAGAGCCACCATGCTTCAGCTTGGGTAGGATGGGCAGGGCTAGGGGGGCAGAGGGCTGTGGGTCAGGAGTGAGGGGCAGTGGAGTGGGGGGCAGTGGGTTGGGAGTGCAGAGTCATTGACAGTGCCGGGGGCTGCAGTCAGGAGTGGAGGCACCAGCAGGGATTGGTGGGGGAAAGGGGTGTGCAGGTCAGGAGTGATGGGCATCAGGGTGGGGTGGGGGACTGTTCATTGCAGGCACTGTTTGTCTCTGTGTGTCCATGTGCAGAGTGAGTGAATAGAGTGAATGCCCATCTGCGTTTCTGCATCCGTCTGTGTTTGCGTGCGTGCGTGTGCATGCATGCGTCTATGTTCATGACCGGGAAAGTGTGTTTGTGTCTGTGTGTCCATGTGCAGAGAGTGAGCAACTAGAGATTGCACCCATCTGCATGTGTGCTTGCACGTGCTGTGTGCTTGTGTGTGTCACTGCGTGTGCATGCATGAGTGTTCATGCGAGTGTCTGTGTTCATGGTAGGGAGAGTGTGTTTGTGTCTGTGTGTCCATGTGCAGAGAGTGAGCAACTAGAGAATGCACCCATCTGCATGTGTGCTTGCACGTGCGGTATGCTTGTGTGTGTGACTGCATGTGCATGCATGAGTGTTCATGCGTGTGTCTGTGTTCATGGTAGGGAGGGTGTGTTTGGGTCTGTGTGTCCACGTGCAGAGGGTGAGTGTGCATCTGCTTGCATGTCTGTGTCTGTGTGCGCGTGTGTGTTAGTGCATGTGCGTGCATGAGTGTGTGTGCATGTGTCTGTGTTTAAGGCAGGAAGGGGTGTGTTTGTGTCTGTGTGTCCATATGCAGAGAGTGAGTGAGAGTACTGTGCACCTATCTGTGTGCACACCTCTGTGTGTGTGTATGTTTGGCCATACTGGGACAAGGGGGCAGGGAGCAGGGAGAAGTGGGTATGTGCCCCTCACCCCCAGCCCAGCAGGGTCCCCCCAGCCTCCCCACCAGCACCAGGACAGGAAAGGGCCCTGCCTTCCCCCTCACCCCCTCAGCCCAACTCCCGTGGGGGGAGGGGGCTTCCAATTTTGTGTTTGCCCAGGGCCACAGTACACATGAATCCACCTTTGGGCGTGGGACCGGACACAGAGCGGTTGGGGTGGAGGGGTATTGCAGGCCTGGATGCCAGGCGCTGGGGGTTGGCGCAGGGCCGGGGACAGAGCAGCAGGGTCTCGGGGGAGGCACATGGGGCCAGATGCAGAGTGGGGGTTGGGTTGCGTGCCGCCAAATGCAGAGTGGCAGCAGTGCCAGACAGTGGGTGGCAGTGGCGGCTGCCGCAATGTGCAAGCTTTTCCCCCGCCCTCCGTTCCTGGGAGGCAGCAGTGGCATGGGGTGGTGGGTGGCGGTGCTCCCTCCCCGCCTGCTCCTCCGCCCGTCATTCTTGACAGGCAATTGGCTGGTATACATATAATTATATAAAAACCCAGAAAACGAAGTATGTAAATTTCTAATGCCAATTTGAATTGCATATTTTCAGGAGATAATATACAAATGTAACTATTCATATAAATTAGATTACAGTAAAACTCTTAAGATGCTTTATAACCATTATCCTATATTATCCCCTTTCTTGTATTATGTTATTCCATGCTTTGCATTAAAGTGTTGAATGCTAACAACAGAAGTGGGATCTTAATGTAGTATCTGTAGACGATATTAATTATCCTGCGATGCTTTTATTCTTACAGTGAAGATGTCTGTAAACGAGGATTCACCGTTATCATTGATATGCGGGGATCCAAATGGGACTTGATCAAGCCTCTGCTGAAGACCCTTCAGGAAGCCTTTCCTGCTGAGATTCATGTTGCCCTGATCATCAAACCTGACAACTTCTGGCAGAAGCAGAAAACTAATTTTGGCAGTTCCAAATTCATCTTTGAGGTGAGATTCCACATTGGAAATCTTTTGCCATGGATTTTCTCCAGTCAGGTTTAGGATGAAAACCACCTCTACTCTGAGATCCACTTCAGCATCTTCAAGAACTCAGTGAAGCTTTGGCTCGTAGGCAGTCATCTGTCCAGGGCTCTGTTACATACAGGATATTTATGCTCAGGGCTTTTTTGTGGCCCTGTTACTTTCGTTCTTCCCTTTAACAATTTTTTTTGTGTATTGGTGGGATATTCTAAGATATAGATAAAACTTAAAGCACAAAAGTCCATGGGCTCATCTTTCAGGCCTCTTTTAACAGATTTCAGCTAATGGCTCCATTAATTTAAGGCATTTAGGATAAAGGTTTATCTACCTATTTTCATTACTTTAATTAAGATTTACCATTGAGTTTTTCACAGCTATGTTAATGACAAAATGCTTTAAGCAGATTTTTTGAGTGGTACAAAATACAGGCAACACTTCTGTAATTAGAGAGGATTGTATCAACTTTCCCATTGGTGAAGGTAAAGCATTTAGCTTTAGCCAGGGCTTCTTGATTTCTCTAAGAATGCCAGTTTCTTACTCAAACAGAATCAAGATTCTGGTATGCAGAAGATATGTATATCAGTCTATATGCATTATGCAGTTTGTTTGCATTTGTTTTCTACCCCATTGCTAAGATAAGGCCCATACTTGGCTCATGTATTTACTCTACTGCAAACCTCCTGACTTCCATGAGATGCTCTGAATTTACATCAGCATAGCTCAGAATAGAATTTAGCCCATAGTAATTCAGAGGGGGTAGGTTTAGCGCAGCTATTCAATAGCGCATGTAAGCATGTTTAAAGATCTGTTGAAGTTAATGCAACTTAAAGAGGTTCTTACAGTCCAGCATGTATTTAAGAACGGGGTGGGCACCTGACCTGCAGTCTCCTGCTACCACTCATAATGACTTTGATGACAACTCTCACATTCTTAAGAAATTCCTTTTATCTCTTTTCTCTTGAAAACAGGATAAAAGGCTGCTGATTTGGGATTTTTCCTTCATTTATAAAGGTGGCCATTCCCATTGCTGTCAGTGGGGCTGAAACCATCAAGATACACTATGCAAGGTTATGCGCTCTGCTCTGGAAGCGAGGCAACTCTGAAAAAAAGGAGGATGCCACGTGCTACTGGTCTTAGTGGGCGCGTCTACATGAGACGCTTACTGCGCATTAGCCTAATAATACTGAGCAGTAGTGTGGAGGTTAAAAACTGCTAATAGGCTACTGCGTAGTGAGCATCACAAAATAACCGGGTACCAGTGCTACTGCACAGTAACTCTAGTTACTGCATGTTTAGTTAGTACTTCATTAAGCAAGTATTAGACTGAATGCGCAGTAACTAAGGTGCATTAATGAACATGTAGACGTGGCCAGTGAGTCTAAAGTTACAACCACCGAATGGTTCAGAGACCTAAACAAGATGCCATTCTGGCACAGGCCCTGTGAAGAGTAGCAGAGCCCCTGCGGGCTGTAGGGGACGAATAGAGAGAGCAGAGTACAGGGGACCAGAGGTAGGTTTAGGGATTGCAGGAAAGTGGCTGAAGGGGATGTTGGAGAGCAGAAAGGAGACAGGATGGGTGCAGAGGTTAGTGATGGGTGGGAGATGAAGGACATTGTATTGTATCTCCACCACAGCAGGGAAGTGGAGCATAAGGAGAGTCTCCCTACAAGCCACCAAGAGAAGGACCCTTTTTTGCATATACATTTCAAGCTGATATTGGGCCTTAGACACTTTCTCCTAAAAAACGCTGGAGCAGACAACATTGCCCTAAAGCTTCAAAGACCAGAAGGACAACAAAAAAGCTGCAAATGTCTTTTCTTTCTTTCTTAAGTTATTTAATGATTTTAAGCCACTCTCATAAATTTTAGAGGTCTGGCTTATGATTTCTCAGGGTGCTGGGTTGACCACACTGAGACAATGTAAGGAGTAATATTCCTAGTTCCACTAGGTGCTTGCTTACAGTACAGGGTGCCATACCATAAATGAAGGTGATTTTTGTCTCCTAAGTGGCCCTGCATCCTGTTCTGTGCCTGCAGACACTTTAGGGACACGTGGGTACCCTTGGTGAATTCCTCTGGGAGCTGCTATTGCAAAATGGTAGGTAGGCTTGGGTAGCAGTGCAGCTCCCACCCTCATGTAAATCCGCCATTCATGCAAAGAAAAGCTATTCATATTATCAGCTGTGCACTTTGTATAGTACTAGGAGTAACATGCATTTACTCAACCAGGTGATTTTATGTGCATGGAGCAGTGTGTGTGGGTTTGTGCCCACCAGGAGGGCAGAAATAATATTACTGCTTTTACTGCCATGGAAAACCCAGCATCCTCATCTGGGGCAAGGTATGCAAGAAATCCATGGAGCTGTGCAGGTTTACCACAGACTATCTAGCTTAATAACTACTAGCACCAGTTTTAAGGGCAGGTTATGTCCTTGAGGTCAGTAAAAGAAATGCTTGGTGGAAGCCATCCTTCGGTGAGAGCTGATTATCTCGATTTGGGTCAGAGGAAACTCAGCTGTAGCTAGTTCTGCATTAAAGACTTCATTTCCCCTTAAGCTGCTAGTGAGCAAGGCAGACACTTGATTGACTAATGCAGACTCCAGGAACTTTGTGTTATTGTGAAGGATGGCCCAAGAAGCCCGCTTATCATTAATTCAGAGGTGTTTTGAAGATTATTGTTCCTTTCCTCCTGATGTGGTTGAATAAGCAGACAGTGGTTTTTTTATTTTTATTGGTTGCATTTTCAAAGAAAGAGAAGAGGAGATAGATGGTTACTTTGTCTTAGCACATCCATCCCTCCTGAAGTTAGGTAATGTATTCATATTCATTTCAAAATAATTCTCAAAGGGAACAAATCTGAATAACAAATAGATGTGCAGAACTCCTTAAATAAAAAAGTCCTGCTATATGATCATGTCAGAACTGCAATTCTGATAAGGGAAAGAATTTGTGGCAGGGGCTCAACAAACAGGGGTTGGAATATTACATATTAGTGATAAAGCGCATTTGTTGACAAGCAGTTGTAATCTAAATTGAATGATCATATTAAGCACTGAAAGGGTCAATGTCCAGGTTGACAGGGTCTAAAATTTTAAATGCATATTTACATTGTCTTCCTGTTCCCCCTCTCTTCTACCAAGTAACCTTTTCCAAGAAGGAATTGCAAAAGGATTTTAAATCAAGTGCTCCAGTCAGCTGTTTGTTTTCTTTGCTTTTATAATTATCTGAGCATGTCTTTTAATAGACGTCCATTTGTATATGTTGCAGAATTATGAGAAGTCATTTTAGGAGGCTATAAGAAACTGGAATAACAGGTTGTTATTAATTAGATCCTGGAATTACCATTGGGTAGCTACTTTCTTTGAATTCAGCATAATGGCCTTCCCCTAACTTCAAGTGGGGTCCGGCTTCAGCTGAAGGTTTAAAGGAAAATCACCCACATTTTCACTTGTTCTATGACGTTGGGTGCCTCCAGTGATTTGGGTCCCAAAACTGAGGTACCACTCAGTGGCCTGTTTGTTTTTTTTAAGGAGTCTAGGTGAGCAGTACTATTTGAACATCTGGCCACATGTCTTAAACCGAGCACCCAAAAATGGTGGCACCCCAAATCACCACTTATTAATGAAAACCTAGGCTGGTAGTTAAATAATATATTTATATATATAGATATATATATAGATATATATTTGTGCAGGATGAATGTGAATTGCCATCCAGCATGGAGGGATTCACTCTTACAAAGTTCTGAGTTGCTTTCAAAAGGGAATGTAGATAACCTGGAAAGGGTTCAGAGGAAGGCCACGCGTCTGGTTAAAGACCTGCAGGAAAAACCCTACGAGGACCGATCGAGGGACCTGAATCTCTTCAGCCTCCACAAGAGAAGGCTGAGAGGTGATCCTGTGCCTGTCTTCAAACTCATCGGGGGGGTGGGGACAGCAGGAAATAGGGGCTATGATGTTTTCCAGGGCACCCATTGGGGTAACTAGAAACAATGGCCACAACCTGAGGGAGAGCAAATTTAGATTGGACATCAGGAAAAAAATCTTTACAGTGAGGGTTGCCAAAATATGGAATACACTTCCAAGGGAGGTGGTGCTGTCCTCTTCCTTAGAGGTGTTTAAGAGGAGATTGGACAAGACTCTTTCCTGCCCAAGGCAGGGGATTGGACTCAATGATGTAATAGGTCCCATCCAACCCTAAAATCTATGAAATCTATGAAAAGGCCTTTATTTAATTACGGTTAACCAAATTTCAATAAATGGAAGTATTGTCCCTTATTGATTTTTGTGCGATTCACAGCTGATTCTATCTATTCACAGCAATTTTTTTGTTATTAATACTCCAATGACATTGATTTAGGCTCAATCGCATTAGACAGTAATAGTGTAAAAAAGATCTGTCTGTGCCAGAAGCCAGCTGGAATAATCTGAAAGAAAATAAGAAGCAGTATGCTGTATATTTTGGCAGGGAAGGGTATCTGCTTCCATTCACATGCTTAAAACTATTGTTGCAATAGCACTATTGACCTGAATATAATACAAATAAGAGAATTCATTGTAATCTCATGTTATCCACTTAGTGAACATTCCCGTCAGGATTGCCAAAGGCTGTGGTACCAATACTTTCATGCTCAGTAAGAATACACACTTTAGGTTAAAGGAATCTGCAGCAGAAGCCTCTCTCAATGTGTTTTGGATGGTCATTTTAACTAGAAAAATGGATATGATTCCAGTGATCTTCACTCTCAAAGAATAAGCAGTGCTGTTATATGAAAATAACAGTGTTAAATATGGTTTAATTTGTCAGAATTAAATACAGGCCCCAGCCTTCTTGACAACATTATTTCAGAGATGTATTGTGAGGAAAGTAATCTGTGTCATGGGCAGAGTCCACCATTATTGCTGGTTTGTCAATGAAAACTAATTCGGGTATATTTTTTTTCTCCCGTTAGACAAGTATGGTTTCTGTTGAAGGCCTGGCAAAGCTTGTTGATCCTTCCCAACTGACTGATGAGTTCGAAGGATCCTTGGACTACAATCATGATGAGTGGATAGAGCTGAGAGTCTCCTTGGAAGAGTTTTTCAACAGTGCCATCCATTTGTTATCGAGGCTAGAGGACCTTCAGGAAATGTTGGCTAGGAAAGAATTTCCAGTTGATGTTGAAGGGTCAAGGAGGCTGATCGACGAGCATACACAGCTCAAGAAAAAAGTGATCAAAGCACCCGTGGAGGAACTGGATCGAGAGGGCCAAAGGTTATTACAATGTATAAGGTGCAGTGATGGTTTTTCTGGTAGGAACTGCATTCCTGGAAGTGCCGACTTCCAAAGTCTTGTGCCAAAGATCACCAGCCTCTTGGACAAGTTGCATTCTACTCGGCAGCATTTGCACCAGATGTGGCATGTCCGCAAGCTGAAACTAGACCAGTGCTTTCAACTCCGACTCTTTGAGCAAGATGCGGAGAAGGTAGGAAATAGTCTGTCCTTTCTATGCTTTTACCAAGACATTAATACAAGGGCAATGTTCCCATTTTTTTCTGCAATTAGCAGCATGAGGAATTAATCACAGATATAAATCTCAAGTTGCCAGCAGATATGCATTATGTGACTTGTAAAACAAAATCACTGAACTAATTGTTGGAAGTAGCAAGCGTAATGACATCCAAGAATAACCTGCCCGTGTCAGTTCTGACGAAAGTTAATCTGCTTTTTCTAGTCACTGTGGGTACATTTGGTAGACATTAGCACCAAAAATCAGGCTTTATTCAAGTTACTTTTGACTGGGTTTATGAATATATACATCCATACATCACTGTGCCTGAAGGGGAATTTTAGTGTTTGAGTCACTCTGATTATTATTTAGATTTCTGGTCAGTCTATGAAAAATGTGCAGCCAAGATATTCCTAATTCTCAGTTTCCTTGTCCTAGAGAATTACTGCAGGATTTACAACTGGTAGGCTTTTTAATAACAGAGCTAGGTACCAAGGAAACAGACAGCTAGCTTTAACAGCACAAGACTTGGGACTGGATTTGGTTTAGACTTTAAATGTATGCAGCGACCAAAAAAAAAAGTGTTCAGAGGTGATCACAGTATGCACAGTTCACTGTATCTGGTTTGCATTAAAGAGCACATAAGGACGGCATTTGAATTTGTACCTGACTCCTGATGAATCATTGTCCAAGACTCATCAAATTCTCCAGGATGAGATCATGTTTGATGATTTGTATAAACATTAAATTATATAGTATGATGTTTTTGGTAACTTAATCTTTTACTAGACATTCTTAATGCTTCATAGCCTCCAAAGAGCATACACTATGCAGTGTAACAAAGCACAGTAGAGAAATAAATCTAGGGCAAGGGGCATATTAAGTAAATGCCTGCCTGATGTGTCAAAGATAGTGCAATATAACTATCATTGTATCTTCATTCCCATAATGAAACAGAAATTCAAAATGCGTAGAAAGGGATGGAAGAGCACTCTGTAGTGAAGCAAACTGGTTTGTCCATGTTGGTTGAAAGACATTAGGTAAAGGTATCTCAACATCCCATCACTATGCTACAGGCATAAAATACATACTACATTTCAGCAGG